GCAGTGGTAGTAGTACTAGTAGTCGTAGTAGTAGTAGTAGTAGTAGTAGTAGTAGTAGTAGTAGTAGGAGTAGTCGCCGTCGTGGTATAGTAGTAGCAGTAGTAGTAGTCGTAGTAGTAGTAGTAGTAGCCGGGGTAGCAATAGTAGTACTAGACATAATAGCAGGAATCGCAGCAGCAGCAGCAGTAGTAGTAGTCGGCGTCGTCGCCGTCGTCGTAGTAGTAGTAGTAGCAGCAGCAGCAGGAGTAGTAGTAGTAGCAGTAGTAGTAGCAGTAGTAGTAGTCGTCGTCGTGGTCGTAGTAGTAGTAGTAGCAGTAGTCGTACGAGTAGTAGTAGCAGTAGTAGTAGTAGTAGTAGTAGTAGTAGTAATAGTCGTAGTAGTAGTGCTAGTAATAGTATTAGCAGTAGTAGTAGTAGTAGTAGTAGTAGTAGTAGTGGTAGTAGTAATAGTAGTAGTAGTAGTAGAGGTAGTACTGGAGTGGTCGTTGTTAGAGTAGTAGTAGAGGTAGTAGCAGCAGCAGCAGCAGTAGTGCTAGCAGTAGTCGTAGCAGTAGTAGTAGTAGTAGTAGTAGTAGTAATCGTAGTGGTCGTAGTGGTCCTAGTAATAGTAATAGTAGTAGAAGTCGCAGTAGTAGTAGCAGTAGTAGTAGTAGTAGTAGTCGTAGTAGTAATAGTATTAGTAGTAGTGGTAGCAGTAGTAGTAGTAGTCGTAGTAGTAGTAGTAGTAGTAGTAGTAGTAACAGCAGCAGTGCTAAAAGTAGTAGCACTGGTAGTAGTAGTAGTTGTCGTCGTAGCAGTAGTAGTAGCCTCACGATTACTACGACTACTACTACTACTACGACTACTACTACTCTTACTCTTACTCTTACACTTACTATTATTATTACTCTTACTCTTACTCTTACTCTTACTCTTACTCTTACTCTTACTACTACTACTGCTACTACTACTACTACTACTACTACTACTACTACTACTACTACTACTACTACTACTACTACGCTACTACTACTACTACTACTACTACTACTACTACTACTACTACTACTAGTACTACTAGTACTACTAGTACTACTTGTACTACTAGTACTACTACTACTACTACTACTACTACTACTACTACTACTACTACTACTACTACTACTAATACTATTACTACTACGACTACTACTACTACTACTGCTACTACTACTGCGACTTCTACTACTATTATTACTATTACTAGGACCACTACGACCACTACGATTACTACTACTACTACTACTACTACTATTACTAGTACTATTACTAGTACTACTATTATTAGCACTACTACTACTACTACTACTACTACTACTACTACTACTACTGCGATTCGTGCGACGACGACTACTACTACTAGTAATAGTAATAAGCATAGTCGCAGTAGCAGTAGCAGTAGTACTAGTGGTAGTAGTAGTAGTAGTAGTAGTAGTAGTAGTAGTAGTTGTAGTAGTAGTAGTAGTAGTAGTAATAATAGTAATATTTGTAGTAGTAGTAATAATAGTAGTACTAGTAGTCATAGTAGGAGTAGTAGTAGTCGTCGTAGTAGTAGTAGTAGTAGTAGTAGTAGTAATTGTAATAGTTGTGATAGTAGTTGCGTTGGGACATGGTAGAGGGAGGAGGTATGGAATTTCGAAAACAAATTTCGGACCTATCAAGCTCCATTTCGAAAGCAACAATTGTGCCAGGAAGGTCTGAGAATCCTCACGTACGGGAACTCATCTTGGAAATCTTCCGGCGATGATACCCAAAACCACGCGCTTTGCGCGCGTTTAGGTTCTGGCAAGCTCTAGTTGTAGTCTAAAGTGCTCATCATCGGAAGTCATCTATTGTCACACGGATCGTGCCCCTCAGGTAGCTTCACCGCAGGCCCAGAGACAGGCTTTGCCGATCGTCCCCCGCCCATGTCAGCACACCCCCGCGCCCCACAGGGAAGTTTCGCATAGTGGCAGGCCTGTCGCGCGGATCGTGCCCCGCAAGTAACTGCATCTGTGGCACCAGAGGGAAATTCACAACGTCGCCCCTCTGCTTTCCGCACTCCTCTCACACGGACCGTGACCTACAATGAGTTCCACAGACGGCCCCACAGACAAGGTTCGCATCTCGCCCCCTGCCTACTTCAACCCGCCTCTCGCACGGATCGTGGCGCGAGATGATCTCCACTTACAGGCCCTGAAACAGAGTTCGCATTGGGTCCCCCCTGGCCATTGCGGCACACCCCCTCACGCGGATCGTGCCCACAAAAAGAGCACCACCTACAGGCCCAGAGACACAGAGTTCGCACCCCGCCACCCCGCCCACGCCGGCACAGCAGCCATGCGAAGCATGCCCTCGAGGGAGCTCCACCTGTGGCACCACCAATGGGCAGCTTCGCACGGCGCCCCCCCCGCCCATTTTGGAACAAGTTGCACGGGCCCTTAGTGGGCCCTGGAAACGACAAGGCCGTTTTTTTACCGGTTCCGTTTTGCCGTTTTTTTGCCGGTTCCGACACCGTTTTTCTACCGATTCCGTCGCCGTTGTTTGACCGGTTCCGGCTCCGGCTTCAACCCTGGAGCCGTTTTTTTGCCGTTTCCGGTCGCCGTTTTTTTGCCGTTTCGCTTTTTAAGGGACACGTGCGCTTGGTCTCCTCGGTGCCTACCCCAGGCCCGTTGGACGCACCGCTGCATGCCCGTTCAGGGGCTGTCTCTGGCTCCTGGATTGCATCGGCCCCGCCGCCCTGGACGCTGTCGTGAGCCGCCTGATCCGCGGCCCCGCGCGCGTTAGGTAATTTAGTCGCGTCCGCGGCCCGTTCGCGACCTCCCGCCGCTGGCGCTTCCGCCTGCGGCTGTAAAAAAAAATTAAGGGACATTGGAAACGGTGAAAAAAAGGCCCTGCCGTTTCCGGGCCCACAGAGCACGGGCCGTGCCCAGGAGAGCTCCACCCGCGGCCTCAAGCGGGCGTGTTCGCGCGGGGGCATAGGAAATATTTGGCACGCCCTTCACGCCGACGTGCCCCGCAAAGGCGTCAAAAGCGCGCCCGTGCACGCGTGCTCCGCAGCAGCCCGCTGTCCGCATTGCCCGCGGAACGCGGTATAGAAAGAGAGACCCTGGCCCAGCGCTACACATCACTGCATTGGATTGGATCCGTCGCCAAGCCAATTGCTTGCCTATCTATGGCAATCGGCCCATCCCGCAACCGTGCCTGAGTTTTGGGCCAGAGGCTTCTGGGACACTTGTCAGTCGGGGTCTCTTGGCATGCTTCTCGAGCGCCTCGTGGACCGAATAGTGCAGCTCATTATGGCCTCTGGTGGGCCGTGTGGGGGCCTCCTTGGGGGCCCTTGGGGGCCCCTTAGGTGCCTGCTGCGGCCTCGGGGGCCCGCTCGTGGCGGAGGGCTCGAATTGCCATTTGGAATTCCCCCTCTTGGACCGGGGCCACCTCTTGGGCCATCTTGGGCGCCTCTTGGACCGTCCTGGGGCTCTCTTGGGCCGTCCAGGAGCCTTCTGGGGGGCTATTTGGGCCGTCTCGGGCGATGTATACGCCATGGCTTGCAAGGCAGCCAGCGATGCTGACAGATTGCGTCAACTATGGCAAGGGAAAGCCAGTATTTGGCGTCACGCGGCACGCAATTTCTGTATGCATATAGCAATGTGATTGCAGTTTGTACATTACTGCCAACGCAGCTTTGACGTGCATGGCGCTCTCTCTCTCTCTCTCTCTCTCTCTCCCTGTGATGTCGGGTCCTCGTTTTGAAGAGACAGCGCCACGCGTCACTCCTCTCCTCCTCCCCCATCCCTCCTCCCGATGCCCCCTCCCTCCTTCTCTCATCATCATCATCAGCATCAGCATCATCATCATCATCATCATCATCATCATCATCATCATCATCATCATCATGATCATCATCATCATCATCATCATCATCTTCATCATCATTCTCATCATAATCCTCATCATCATCACCATCACCATCATCATCATCACCATCATCACCATCATCATCATCACCACCACCATCATCATCATCATCATCCTCATCATCATCATCATCATCATCATCCTCATCCTCATTCTCATCCCTTTCCTCATCCTCATCCTCATCCTCATCCTCCTCCTCCTCTTCCTCCTCCTCCTCCTCCGCCTCCGCCTCCTCATCACCAGCACCACCACCACCACCACCATCACCATCATCATCATCATCATCATCATCATCATCATCATCATCATCATCATCATCATCACCATCATCATCATCATCAGCATCATCATCATCATCGTCATCGTCATCGTTATCGTCATCCCTCGTTTCGGCATACCCCTCACACGTTTCGTGGCCTTATAGGGGGCTCCACCGAAGGCCCCAGTGGCAGGGTTCGCATGCGATTCCCCGCTCATTTCGGCACACTCCTCACGCGCTTTGTGGCCCCACAAGGAGCTCCACAGAAGGCCCCAATGGCAGGGTTGGCATGCGGTTCCCCGCCCATGTCGGCACACCGTTCACGCGCTTCGTGGCCCCATAGGGAGCTCCACCGAAGGCCCCAGTGGCAGGGTTAGCATGCGGTTCCCCGCCCATGTCGGCGCACCCCTCACACGTTGCGTGGTCCCATCGGGAGCTTCACCGAAGGCCCTAGTGGCAGGGTTCGTATGCGGTTCCCCGCCCATTTCGGCACACCCCCTCACGCGCTTCGTGGCCCCACAAGGAGCTCCACCGAAGGCCCCATTGAATTGGTGGTTTCCCGCCCATTTCGGTCGCACGGGCGCGAACCGTGCCACTACAGCCGCATGCGAACCCTGCCACTGGGGCCTTCGGTGGAGCTCCCTATGGGGCCACGAAGCGCGTGAGGGGTGTGCCGAAACGAGTGGTGACGATGATGACGATGACGATGACGATGCCGATGACGACGACGACGATGATGGTGATGATGATGATGCTGATGCTGATGGTGATGCTGGTACTGATGTTGATGATGATGCTGATGATGCTGATGATGACGATGATGATGATGATGCTGCTGATGATGAGGAGGAGGAGGAAGGGGCCAGCGGGATGGGGAGGAGGAGAAGAGAAACGCGGGGACCGTCTCTTCGAAAGAGGACCCAACACCACAGGATGGTTGGGAAAACATGCGAATGCACCCACTTTCATGGCTGGCGACATGCCTCGGCACGATCAGCCACGTCGCGATGAAGGAATGGGAAGGTGGAGGTTGCGGAGGAGGGAAAATGAAACATGGAGGGGCATGGTGAAGGTCTTTATCCCGTGGCAAAAGGTCAAGATGCACTCTTAGAATAATGGGCCTCGTCAAAAGGCGCAGGATGCGCGACGAAAGCCGAGCCGATTCTTCAGATCGGGCGACAAGGGGGACTGACGGAATACATGCCTGCCCTACGCCGCACCCGCTGAGGCAGCGCGCCCCCTGCGCTGTGCAGAAGCGTCATGGCGAAGATCAGGGGAACGACCCCTCGGCGGTCGAACCCGCCTGGAAAACACTGCCGCGCCGCTGCGCGCGCGTCTCCAGACTCAGATGGTTCATGCACGCAGCCTCGGGCGTGCTTGCGACGCTGTGGTCATCTTCTCCCAGAAGGCCTCCGACAACAAAACCCGTTCTTCCTAGATGTTTCACGTACACATTCAAGTACGACAAGCCCATGTCCGTATGCCCGTGCACGATCTTCAGCTGGACCTTATTGAAAACAACCCACTCTGGAAGGTCGCCCTCTCTTTGCGACGCGCTGTAATGATATCCTCCAGCTTGTTTTGCCTCTGCCCAAGACCCAGTCACGTTCACTTCTTGGAAATACATATCCGCGCACTGTTTACCCAATCGGCGCGCATCGGCCTGCACGCGAAGCAGTGCGTTCTCAGCAACCTCTCCACGAGGAATGTTGACCAACAGATGACTGCCTGGTACCATCAAATCGAATCGCTCGCCATGCACATTCTGCATATGGGGGTCACCAACGGCCGAACTCGTCGCTGGAATAGACGCGAGTACAGCTGTGGTAACGGCGCACTGTACCATCTTACCGCTGCTATCAGAATTCCAGCTCATCCCACCTCCGATGAACGTCCAACCACCCAATCCACAGTCGCCGCTACCAGAGCCATCGTGGTAATTGCCCACGGTCACCGTGTCGGTCCCGACCGCGTACTGTGTCTCGCCCATGTACGGTGCGGTGAACACGTGGACCTTGCCATTGCAGTAGGAATATGCAGTTCCATAGTTCGCGGCGTAGTTGCCAATTGGCTTGGCGTCGTTGGCAAGCTGACTGCCTCCAATGGCATTCGCCTTGGCTTGGCATGCAGCGAGCGCCTTGTCAATGCTGTTTCCCAAATCAGCAACCACATCCGACTGGAAGATGGAGTATGCCTCGTGCGTGTAGAGCACGTTCATCGTGTCCTGCATGCGGGTACTATGACCCGCGGAAGTCATGCTGGGGGCAAATAACACCGCAACACACAAGGCACGGGTCGCCATGTGGCTCTGCACGAGATGAAACAGGAAAACTTCGCTCGCCTATGCGGGTAAGCCACTGGGCCGGCAAGGCCCTAGAATGGAGATCAGTGCGAGTGCAATAACAGAAAACGTGCGCCACAATCGCTTGAGCCAAAATGGCTGCGGAACGTCTTGGGGCGATCTTGGGGGCCTCTTGGGTCGCCTTGGACGCTGTGAAGGCCCCCCTGGCGAATATGCTAAACATGTACGTTTTCCCTCAGGGAAAGCTGCAGTGTTGGCCTCCTGGGGCCCTCTCGCGGAGCATCTTGCAGGTTTCTCGGGGCGTCTTGGGTACCTCTTAAGCCGTCTTGAGACAATCTTGGGGCGTGGGCCAGAACGAGACAGGGGGAATCCGGGAGGGTGCCCCGGCCAGGGCGCAGGACCGCAGGCACCCCAGCACATTTCCCTGTGACGTACCCAACCCTTTCTATACATGTGGCGATTATACTCAAGACCACTCAATGCTGACTGGCATTCTGCAGGATCCGCAATGCGCAAGAAGAGCACCGAGCAATGATTTCAGAAGAGCGCAGCAAGAAAAGAAACGGCACATCTACAATATGGGAGGAGCACAGGGGCGTTGAAAGAAACGCGCCCAAACAGTGAACACAAAAAAGCGCGGCAGCGAGGACAACAACGCGCACGTACCTCTGCTGGGCCTCCCAGGAGCCCACGAAAGTGGCGACAGTTGCGCAGATCGCAAGCCCCCCAGGGGGCGGCGAGGTCCCGAGGTCGTCCGCGAGGGACGTACCTCCGCTGGGCCTCCCAGGAGCCCACGAAAGTGGCGACGGTTGCGCAGATCGCAAGCCCCCCAAGGAGCGGCGAAGTCCCGAGGTGGTCCGCGTGGGACCCACCTCCGCTGGGCCTCCCAGGAGCCCACGAAAGTGGCGACAATTGCGCAGATCGCAAGCCCCCCAGGGAGCGGCGATGTCCCGAGGTGGTCCGCGTGGGACGTACCTCCGCTGGGCTTCCCAGGAGCCCACGACAATGGCGACAGTTGCGCAGATCGCAGGCAGCCCAGGGAGCGGCGAGGTCCCGAGGTGGTCCGCGTGGGACCCACCTCCGCTGGGCCTCCCAGGAGCCCACGAAAGTGGCGACAATTGCGCAGATCGCAAGCCCCCCTGGGAGCGGCGATGTCCCGAGGTGGTCCGCGTGGGACGTACCTCCTCTGGGCTTCCCAGGAGCCCACCAAAGTGGCGACAATTGCGCAGATCGCAGGCAGCCCAGGTAGCGGCGAGGTCCCGAGGTGGTCCGCGTGGGACCCACCTCCGCTGGGCCTCCCAGGAGCCCACGAAAGTGGCGACAATTGCGCAGATCGCAGGCCCCCCTGGGAGCGGCGATGTCCCGAGGTGGTCCGCGTGGGACGTACCTCCGCTGGGCCTCCCAGGAGCCCACGACAATGGCGACAGTTGCGCAGATCGCAGGCAGCCCAGGGAGCGGCGAGGTCCCGAGGTGGTCCGCGTGGGACGTACCTCTGCTGGGCCTCCCAGGAGCCCACGAAAGTGGCGACGGTTGCGCAGATCGCAAGCCCCCAGGGCGGCGATGTCCCGAGGTGGTCCGCGTGGGACGTACCTCCGCTGGGCCTCCCAGGAGCCCACGAAAGTGGCGACAGTTGCGCAGATTGCAGACGGCACGGGAAAAGAGAAGGTAACACAGAAAACATGAAAGGAGGAGGAGAGGAGGAGAGGAGGAGAGGAGGTGGAGACCACACTGCTCTATTCAAAACGAGTGCCCAGCACCACAGGAGAGTTGGGAATAAGAAGAGGCGCCATGAAATCTGGGGGAATATCATGGCCCCCGCCATGATATCCCCCCTAGTCTTATGTCGCTTCCATCGCATTTACCACATCCCAAAAATAATTTCCAGCACCCGGAAAAGTGTCGAAAGAGTGTCGAAAACGTGTCGAAACAGTGTCGGACGAGTGTCTCCCAGGGCCCGACGCGTGAAAAACCCTTGAGTTTCGGCACTTTCGTGGTGCTCGAAAGTCTTTTTGGCGATCAAGGCGAAAGTAGGCTGGAACATCATAGCCCTAGTCATCGCCCCCATCGTGGCCGCCCTCCTAGTTCGGGTGTTGCTAGAAGTACCCCTGGCCCAAGGTGCCCCCAGCTTTTCGCTCCATTCTGGAGCCCCTGGGGCCCTTTGGGCCTCGTGAGGAGCGCTCTAGAGGCCGTTTGGACTACCCCGAGAATCCTGGGGTCACCTTGGCCCAGGGGCCCTTCGAGCAACACCCGACCAGTCATCGCCCCCCTCGTGGCCGCCCCCGCCACACGAGTAGGGAGCCACTTGCGAACCCTACCCCTACCCCCCACGATTTCTGAGGGGGAGGGTGGGGTTCACTTCGCTCGGGAGCTCCTGAATTCAGTGAACCCCACCCTCCCCCTCAGAAATCGTGGGGGGTAGGGGTAGGGTTCGCAAGTGGCCCCCTAACCTTGGCCCAGGGGCCCTTCAAGCAACCCCCGACCAGTCATCGCCCCCCCCCCCGTGGCCGCCCCCGCCACACGAGGGGGCCCAGTCGGGGATGGACAGACCCCCCTCTAGTAAAACGTGGCTTCGTGAAAACGACCTGAGGCCCAAACCCGGCGGGCGCAGGCCTGGAAAATAGCGGCCACGGCGCCATCTCGAGAACCGAGAACGGACAATTCACTAATCGACGTGTCACGGTTGGGGGCTCCGTCCACCCCCGACACAGGTCCCCCGCGGGGGGCCCCACAGGCGGCCTTCTGTATCGAATGGACACAGGCCGCGGCGGCGCGGACAGCGAGCCCTGTTCACAATGAACAGGATCCGCTGTTGGGCATTGTACCCATTCTTTCCGTACCCATTTCGTTCGTGCCGATTCAAGCCGCACCCGACCAGTCATCGCCCCCCTCGTGGCCGCCCCCGCCACACGAGGGAGCCCACAGGTCCCCCGCGGCGACGCTGCGAAAAGTGTAGCAGGCATGGGACGCGGCGCACATCCCGCGCGGACGCCTGGCCAACCCTACGCGGGATCCCCCGTCCTGCCCGTCAAAAAACACAGCAACGCCTACGATTTTCTTGCCAGCGTGTACTTTCTCCTCGTCGGCGTTGCGAATCGCGCAGCGGCAATGGGGGCAATTCAGTGAACGGTTCACTTCGTTCGGGAGCTCCCGAGCGAAGTGAACCCCACCCTCCCCCTTAGGAATCGTGGGGGGCAGAGGTAGGGGTCGCAAGTGGCCCCCTAACGAGGGGGCCCAGACCCCCGACGTCATAATTTTTTCACGACGGGACCCCCAGAGGTCCGGACCCATTCCCCGGGACCGGCTTTTCATCCTGGGTCGTTTTTTGACGGGCCTGAGGGCCGGTAAGGGCCCCCGGAGGCCGAAAATAGCGAAAAACATCGCGTCGTGAATTTTTCATGACTCGAGGGGGTCTGGGGGGGCGAAAGAAGGGAAGAGGGCCAGGGTCCGCGCGTGACCTCGGCGCCGAAACGCTCGCGGAGCGTCGAGCGCCCCGCTCGATCGACGAGCGGTCGATTTAGGAGGAGGAGGAGGAGGAGGAGGAGGAGGAGGAGGAGGAGCAGGAGCAGGAGGAGGAGGAGGAGCAGGGGGCCCACGGGTCCCCCGCGGGGGGGGGGGGGCCCCTGGCGGCGCGCCCCTGCGCGACGCCGCCCTCCGGGCCAGGGCCGGCCGCCCGTGGAGGCCCCGCCCCGGGCGCGCGCCGGGCGGCCGCGCGAGGCCTCGGCGAGGCCCCTCCTCGAGGGGCCCCCTCCTCGGGGGGCCCCTCCTCGAGGGGCCCCTCCTCGAGGGGCCCCTCGTCGAGGGGTCCCTCCTCGAGAGGTCCCTCCTCGAGAGGTCCCTCCTCGAGAGGGAGGCCCCTCCCCGAGGGGGGCGCGCGCCCGGCTTTGGTGCTGGGCCCGCTGTGGCCTGGGGCGCGGGCCTCGAGGCCCCGCCGGCGGGGGGCGCGGGCCTCCTCGGGGCCTCCGGGCCACCGGAGAAATCACGAAAGGGGCCCAGGGAAGCACGAAGGCAGACACACACACACACACACACACACACACACACACACACACACAGACACAGACACAGACACAGACACAGACACAGACACAGACACAGACACAGACACAGACACAGACACAGACACACACACACACACAGACACACACACACACACACACGGACGGATCCCAGGGTTCCCCCCACACTCTCCACAAACCTTTTCTGGGTGTTCGCCTTCCCCCCCCCCCACACACTTCCCAGCCGTGCCAATCTATTTTCCTGGGGGTCGACGACGAGAATGGTGTCTGCGTGTTGCTTTCCCTCCTGAATCATATGGGGGTAAGCGATCCGGAAATGATTGATGAAGGGGCCCTGGGACACACAAATAAATACACACAAATAACCGGGTCCCCCATATTTTCCCGTATATGTTCTGGGTTTGTGTCTTCCCCCCCACTTCCCATATTTTCCCATGTTTTCTGGGGGAGTCGACGATTAATGGTGTCTGTGTGTTTCCTTCCCTCCTGAATTGAGCACGGGAGGCGCCAGGAGGGCGGGAGGCGGCCGCGGAGGAGAGGAGCGAGGGCGGAGCGCGCGCACCCGGACTATGCACCTCGCGGGCGGCCGGCGGCGGCAGGCTCCCGAGGGCGGCGTGCAGAAGTTGGGCCGCCAGGGGCCGACCAGGAAGACGAGGAGGAGGAGGAGGAGGAGGAGGAGGAGGGAGGAGGAGGAGGAGGAGGAGGAGGAGGAGGAGGAGGAGGAGGAGGAGGGAGGAGGAGGAGGAGGAGGAGGAGGAGGAGGAGAGCGGGATTGAACAAAGAAATGGCAGGAAGTCTGAAGGCAGGAGATCAGCACGCAAGCAATGACAGCTGGTGTGAGGGGAGCGGGTCCCGAGCTGGGCCCTGGAGCCTTCCCTTTGGACCAGCTCTTGGCACGCAGAGGGGGGTAGAGGGGGGGGGGAGCTGCACTGGCGACGTCGGCGATGCATTGGCGACGTCGGCGTGGAAGGAAGTGGCCCCCACCTGAAGCCGCATCGGCGACGCATCGCCGGTGCATCGGCGATGCGGCACGATCCTCAGACCCCATCTACTCTGACCCCATCTGGGAGGCCTAGAAGCAAGCGATCCTACGGTGTCTGCTCAGTTCTGCAGTGCTCTCGGCGGGGCGGCGGGGCGGCGTGACGCCTGTCGCGTCTGATCTGTGAT